AATTTCAAAACAGCACAGCATTAGTAGGTCAGGGACAAGGAGAGAGACTGGATATGGGTGGGCAGCAACAACACAGGACTGAGCACCCTTGAATGCTGAAACTGAGTCATAAAGTATTTTATTACAAGGGCGCATCTCATTTTGTTCCCACTCACTTTTGTGATACGAATTTGAGAGCTTTACTGTGAGAGGTGTAAACCCCACCAGCTTCCTTTTCCTCTGCCAAACCGACTCAGCTGTTCCAGCTGACACAACTATAAAATGCAAGCCATTCACAGCCCAGAGCTGTGAAGGCAGTAGGATCCATAGCCTAGTCTCATCTTGGTGATATGTAGATGGAATCAGAGATAATTAGATTGCCTGTACATCTTGGGACTATCAGGAATGTATTTGGAAGAGAAACAGAAGGGGAGGAAAGTTGAAGATAAGCAAGAATCAGTAAGTAGGTACGTAAAAGTCCATGAAACTGCCAGGGCTCAGGGCCTTTAATCTAGCACTCAGAAGGATGGCAGGTGGATCTCTGTTACAGCCAGCCACCGATACAGAATGAGATCCTGTCTCAAAAAAAATAAATTAAAAATAAAGCCAATGAGAGCTCTCCAGGGAAGAGCTAATGCGAGATTCTGTGTAGGATCACAATCCAAGTTACTTGTGTTATGAACCTACAACACAGACCTGCTGTTTTGTCCCAAGATTTTGGTAAAGTTTAGGAACAAATGGTTTTTATGCACAGTATCTGTGAAGATATTAGCATAAAACGTGTATGTCTACTTACATAGTTGGCACAGAGAGGGAACAGAAATGTGGGTAACATGGAGGAGTCAAGGATTTTTTTGATCATCTTTTCTTGATGGGAGATACCCATGAGAACAAGGTCCATCTTACGAAGCAGGAATTCCCAGCTCCAGGAGAAACATCTGTGGTTTTCTTTTCAGTCCCCAAGAGGAAAAACCTAGGATGGTGTTGCAGTTCCATAGTGATGGCCTTTCTGTATGCTATCATGTGAGTCAGTGCAAGGACTTTAAGTCAGGGTCTCAAACCTGAATAAATCCCCATCTTATAACAGGACATGATGATACAAGTCTTCAGTCCCAGTACTTGGAATCAGCAGCAGAGGCAGATAGATCTTTATGAGTTCAACATTAGACTAGTCTACAGAGCAAGTTCCAGGACAACCAAGGGTACATAGTGAAACTGTGTTTCAACAAACAAAAATAAAAAATTCCTATCTATAGAGTAAAGGGAAATCAGCAAACAGTCCACAATAAAGTGGATAGTAAGGCAATGGGGCAGCCATCAGGAAGAAGAAGCCTCACACAAGAGAAGAAAATAGGCTGAGCGAGCCAGGGGAAGCAAGCTAGTAAGCAACATTTCTCCTTGGTATCTGCTTCAAGCTCCTGCCTTGAGTTCCTGCCTAGGCTTCCCTCACTGATGGACTGTAATTTTTTTTTTTTAAAGATGTATTTATTTTATGTATGTGAGTACACTGTTGCTGTCTTCAGACACACCAGAAGAGGGCATCAGATCCCATTACAGATGGTTGTGAGCCACCATGTAGTTGCTGGGAATAGAACTCCAGACCTCTGAAAGAGCAGACAGTGCTCTTAACCACTGAACCATCTCTCCAGCACTGGACTGTAAATTCTAAAATGAAATAAATGATCCCCCCTCCCCAAGTTGTTTTTGGTCATGGTGTTTTATAACGGTAGAGAAGCACATCAGAATACTACCTAAGGGGAAGGAAATCACACCTATCAGGTTTCCCTATATTAGACTCTAAGATCAGAGTGGTAACATAGTCAGTAGCAATGACATGTACTATAGTGAGCCAGGGTCTTGTGTCACAGCCAATAGCATCCTGGAGGCTTCTGTTATGTTGTTATACTTTAGATACATTTCTTTTCAGATTTCTCCTGATCATTCCGTGGTGAATTTTTGTCTTAGTTCAGCTAAACAAGAAAGAGCTGAATCCATGGGAAACATGTATCTCTAGAGCCACAGGACTTTCAAAGACAACACGCAGAGAGTAACGACAAACACTACTAAATGGAGAGAAACTCAACAGTCTCATCTGATGCGGGAGTAGCCTTTATATGCTTTTAAAAAGAAAATGATTACTCTGAGATGGCAGAAAAGATAACTGTGAAAGTCCTACAAAGTTTACAAATCTAGTACAGGAAGTGGCTTTGGGCTGGACCAGACCAGGAGAACCGCATCTAGGAAGCTCTGCTTTCCAGTGCAACTACTGAAGACGAGCTTGCCAGGAGGGTGAGGTCAAGTGAACTCATAAAGGCTGTGTCAGGGTTTGAACTTGAAATGTTGCCCACTCACTCATTGGTTCCCAGCCACTAGTGCTGTTTTGGGAAGTTGTGGAACCTTTAAGAGGTGGTTGCTAGGGGTGAGTCTTTGCGACTCACAGGCCTGGCTTCTGGCCTTTCTCTGCTAGCTAGAATAGTTAGCTACCATTTGCCCCCAGAGCTGTGGATTCAGTTACCCCACCAAGCCATCCTCTGAGAGCATGAGGCAAAACAAACCTTTGCTCCCTTAAGCTGTTTCTGTCAGGATTTCTGGTCTCAAAGTCATAAAAAATAACTAATATGGGAGATCTTGAAGTCTGAAACTCAAGAACAGAAATATATTATTTAAAATAAAAAAGAATGTAGCCAGGAATGGTAGTACAAGCTTGTAATCTAAATACAAGGAGGCAGGGGGAATGTTATGGGTTTCAGTATAGCCTGGTCTACCAAGTGACCCCCTGTTTCAAAACTCTAAAATGTGGAAGTGCAGGTAAGTAGCTGAGATATTCTATTCCATAGCTTTGTATGGACTGAACTAGCTGAGTTAGATGGAAAACACAGATAGAAATGCCTATCAGACCTTACAGAAATATACTTGTACCTTGGGAGTAACTGGCAAGACCTGGCAAATATTTAGCCAAAGTCCTAATTTTGCCAGGGATTCCATCAGAGACTGTTGCCATTAGGCTAACAACCAGAAGCAAAATGCAACCTCACCCTTTAGGTGACTGGGATGGTATAGCTAGGAAGGCTATGATCAGAGATCAAGTGTAGTATCCAGACACTAAGATCCTGAGCCAGATACTGGGGTTTGCTGGTGGCATAAGACATGAATGAAATACAAAGCTGGAGAGTTGGAAAGCATATTCTTTTTACATATCCCCTAAGCATTTGTTTCATCTCTCCATCCGGGCTTAGGAGCTGCGAAGTTCATGGAGTAAGTTACATGTAACTGTGAAGCTGAGAATGGTTGCGTCAATTCATACACAAACAGCTTGGTTAGAAATCACATAAGGACAAAGAAGTTGAACTCACCCAACAATTAAAGGACATCACCCCCAAGTAGTGAGTGTGATGGGTTTGGTGGGTTTGATGGGTGTAGTGGTTTGAATAAGAATGGCTCCTATAGGCTCATAGATTTGAATGCTTAGTCACCAAGGACAGGCATTATTAGGTGGTGTGGCCTTGTTGAAGTAGATGTACTTTTGTTGGAGGAAGTGTATCACTAGGAGTAGGCTTTGAGATTTCAGAAGCTGAAGTCAGACCCAGTGGCTCACTCTCTCTTCCAGCTGCCTGCCCATCTGGATGTAGAACTCTCACCTACCTCTCCAGCACCATGTCTGCCTGTATGTCATCATGCTACCCACCTTGATAACAATAAGACTAAACCTCTGAACTTACAAGCCAGCCCTAATTAGATGTTTTCCTCTATAAGAGCTGCCATGGTCATGGTGTCTCCTCATAGCAACAGTAACCCTAAGTAAGACAGAGGATTCACCAAGCAGAGACAAGATCTGATGTCCTGTTTTCTCTTAAAGGTAAAAAGTAGCTGCTGAAGAAATGGTATTAAAGATCATGAACACAAACAGGTGTCAAAGTAATGAAAACAATTTTGACAGAATATTTATTATAAAAATATGTCAGATTGGGAAGATACTGTTTTTGAATGCTAAAATAAAAGGTCTGCATGAGAAAAGAAGAGCAGAGCAGGCTATGTGGCTCAAGGGAAGGCTGACTTGCTTCAACCTGAACTTTGGTATCGAAAGATAAAATATACAGATAGATATTTAAAAATGAAAACAGAAAAATCTCACAAAACATAAGAAACACCATACAGGCAAAAACAAGTAAGTATATTTACTAAAGTATATTTATTTACTAAAATATATTTATTAAAACATGTACACTAAATTGACAGGGCAACTGATGCCTGACATAAAACTGGGGGCCAAAACTCTGTAATTTCTAAGAAATACCAATAAGCCCAACTATAAATCATCTACTCATCAAGTTCAGTTTTAAGATTTGTCATTAAGTTGAGGGTGGTGGCACTTGTTTCTCATCCTAGCATTCAGGAGGCTGAGGCAGGGGATCTCAAGTTCAAAGTCAACCAGTATTACATAGTGAGACCCTATCTGAAAACAAAAGACCTGCCATGTTTTATATTATGAAAATATATACACCAAAATAGTAAAGGTCACATCCATAAAATTATCATTAAAATGATATAACATCACAAGATATTTATAGCATATTTGACTATAAAAATAATTAAACGTGATATTTTAATGTATAAAACACTACAGAGAATATAATCTGAAGCTATTTAAATTGGTAAATGTGATCATATCTTAAAGCAGTGCGCCACAACAGACTCAGTGCTCTATTTATCAACAGCCCTTCCTAATTCCACAGCTCTAGAATTTCTGAGGATGTAAAAGGTACAGTTAGCACTATCTTGGCAAATACCACTCCTTTCTGATTGTTGTTCTGAGCCTTCCTTGGTTTTAGGTTATGCTGTTTAACCAATCTCTGCACACATCTCTGTGCTGTGCTCTGTAATGCTTGTTTTAAAAACCACTCAAAAAGATATGTATATGAATCCATTTTCAATGAGACCTGTTATGTTGTACAAATGATTTACGGCAATAAAAATATCCAACAAAACTTAGTACCAAGTTTACAGAATGTACACATGCTGACCTTGTAAGGACGTATGGCGAGAATGAAGCTGGGTTGTCCTGCTCTGAGAAGAGGGGCATAGTTCCTCCCATTATCCACAGGCGGAAGTACAAAATGACAGTCACCTTGGAGGAATGAGAAGACCTGATGAAATGTCCACCCACACCTCTACCATCTTCGTTCAAGCATTCTGATCATCAATAAAGAAGTAGAGCCAACTGTCCCCTCCCCTTACAGATGATGGATAACCCTGCCTGTATAGCCCTGGCCCCAAATCACAATATAGGAAACCATCCGGCTGAGTGTCCCAATTAAAGCTGCTGGACAGGCAGCAGGTGCTGTATCTATGCCTCTGGGTACTGGGACTAGATGTTATGTGCAGCAGTAGATAACTAAGACAGCCAGGTCACTTTGAAAACTCTTTGGAAGAACTTTAAACCCCGTGTCGTTCACACTATGATATTGGGTTCCCATATATGCTTCCATATATACCTCTGCTCAACAGTAACTTTTACCACCTGCAAACCTTCCTTATGAGATATTGGCAGTGAGTTTAATAAATAATCTAGACCATATTTCTGAGTCGAGACACTCTTGAAATGAAAACACCCTTTATTAGCTACATTTGAAATACATATTATTATATACTTACATAACTGATGACCAAAATGGCCCGCTTTAAAAATGGTCTCAGGGTAAGCAGGAAATTTCTGTTGCTTCTTCCTGTCAGACACCTAAAAGAGGAAAGGAAAGATGAGTCTCTTAAGAGCAACCATCTACAGTACAATGTTCCCCTCTGTGAAGATACTGAGCTCTGGGAAAACACTGAGAACCTGACTTTGGAGCCAGGGCATGTGGGTTTCAACAATCTGCTGCTTTCAATTTGAGAAGTGGAAACTGTAAAAGCGTCTTTTATTTGCCTGATGTAATTGTCATCTCTGAGGCTTGCTGCCTCTGTCTTTTAACCTAGGCCTAGTCCTGGAAGCTTCTAGATTCCATATAATTTTATCTAGACCGAGAATGTTTTCAGCCTCTTGAGATTTAATGCTGAATAAGCTCACCCTTTCTAGTTCTTTCTGAACTCTGGCTGTCTGGTTCAAATCAGCTGTTCTGGTTCAAACTCCTCCAAGTGGACTAATTCAATCTGGCTTCTCTTTAGCCTCTGATTTTTTGCTCTGCTTGACTTCAAACTAACTCTGGCAACCTGTTCCAATCTTCTGGCTCCTTCTCATTCTCTGGTCCATTCTGCCTTCACCTATGTCTAGCTTGTTCTCTCTCTCTGCAACCTGTCTCTGTAAAACTCTCCTGGTAAAACTGCCTCCTTCCTTCTCTCTGTACTGCTCCTCTCTTAAGTAGCTTCCCTTTCCTCTCTCCTCATGAGAGTTGGGCATATCCTACTCTGTCAAACCTTTCTGTGATTTAGCACTTTGTCTGCCACTCAGTCAGACATCGCTTTCAAACTCGGGAGCTTCCTTCTACAAGCTAACTTTATCTTCATTGTTTGGGATTGAAGGTGTGTACTAAGGATAAATCTGTATTCCAGTCAGAGGGATTAAAGGTGTGTGCTAAGGGCTGAGCCACTCCAACTGTGTAGTGGGTTTGTTTTGATGCTACTTGTATTCAAATGCTAAATTCTGTACCCCAAGATTTGGTTGCTCTAAGATGAGCAGATCCTCACATATACCAGCTTTTGTTGTATAAACTTTGTCCCCCAAGTTATCTATTTATAAAGATGCCTACAGCCAAAAGAAGTAGGTAAGGCTTTGGTTCCTGGGCTTAGAGTCTAAAGCAGATACCACAAGGGAAGAAGATAAAGAGGAAGAAGGAAAAAGGCACCATGAGTAGGTGGATCCTGTGTGCATGGCCATGAGGGCCAGCCAGTTAGAATAGAAATGGTCCAGGCAGAACATGGCAAGTGATACCTCAGGATTATTGACAGGGAAGTAGACAAAATAGCTTAGAGTATTAATATCTGCCCAGCTCTAGTGTTTTAAGGCTTATTATAAATTTAAAGAATTTATGTCTTTTATTTGGGAGCTAAAGATCTAAGGTAGAGTAGAAACCCTCAAATAATATTTACTACAACACAACTAGAAACAGGTCTTTTCAGTAAATCACACAATCTCAGGGTTGACAGTGTGATCAAATATCCTACAACGGGAAACAACTTTCTTCATTTCTCTGTACATCTATTTTGCTTATTTAAAAGATAATATGTACACTGTGGGAATATTGTAAGAAATAAGTGAGATAATATATAAAAACAGGATGTAGCTTTGTTAAATAATAAATATTACAATCCCATCTGTCCCTAATAAAACTGTATACTCTGGTAACATTAGTCTACTTGAAGGTACAATGTCTTCAACCCACAAAAGATCATACAATTGTCCCTGAAGAACAAGGATGTCAAGACTATGTGAGGTAAAACACACAGTACTTCTGGGGTGGATCAAAGACCTCTCATACACACTAAAGATTTTCTTACTTGCTCCCTCTCTGTCCTGGGAAACAAATTAGATTTTTTAAGACTATTAGCTTCAAGAAGGTCAGAGATTAGTGGAGAGCCAACATCTGCCATAGCCCCCACTGGTTCAAAGAAGAAGCTTCAGCTTTGTGAATGGGACTGGCTGGCTTCTGAGGTTAACAAGCCCCCTGTGAAAACATAAAGGGTCCATATCCCCTCCATGGGAGCTTGCACACTTTAGTCAAGCAGAGAAAAGAAGCTGAACTCAATCACATAATCCCACTGGCATTCCCCTGTGCCTTATTCTCCCTAATGCTTTTCATTTAGTTCTTTCACTTCTTTTAATCCGTTTCTCCCCTCAAAGGATTTTCCTCTTAAAATTTGCATTTGAATAACGGCTCTTCACTGGAGAGAAACTTTGCCCCAGACTCTGCCTTTTAGTAACACCTGGGCAGGTTAGAATCCTACAGAGACAGGTCCACCTTGTGCCATCTCAAGGAAGATGTGTGGCCACTTCTGTGCAGCAAATGTTCTGTAACTGCATGGAAGTGGCATCTTCACTCACATACAGGTCTTTCTCTCTCCCTCTCTCCTCTTAGGTCTCTTCCTGGGTGCTCCCTTTCTCCTCTCAGATCTTTTCTTCGATGCTCCCTTTTTTCTCTTTTGGGTTCATAAAAATCCCTGGAAGTGACATATACTCAGAACTGGCAATCCAAGTGCTTGATGACAGAGAAAATAAACAGGCATAAATACATCAAATAGAGTTTGCTGCATACAAGTTCTAGTCAGGTCCATCTTCTAGAGTTGCTTCTAAATCCTTTCTTCCCTTCTAGGACCCCAGCAGAGCATTTGGCATGGGGCCAGGCCAGGAACACGGTGGCTGCCATAACAGCGTGTGTACAGCAGCTGCTCCTGACTGGGCACTGGAGAGTCTGGAATGATACAGGTGTGTGCTTGTGTGTGCATGTGTTTGTGTTTACTGAGGCAGTCCTTGGTTCCTTTGTTTGGGCAGCTGGGTTGTTATTCCCATAGCAGTAGCACAGAACTACACATCACTTTCTGGGCTCTGCCACCTTGTGACTGTCATTTTCAGGTAAACTAAACCAAGACCAGACCTTGGCATTTCTGTTTTTTCAATGATGCAGGGTAGCTTGCAGCAGGCACGTAAAGGAAACAGACAGGGGCCAGGAAAAGATGCTAAAGAGGGCAAGAGTGAGAATGTAACTGAACTTCCCAGGCGATTGCTCTTGGAGGCTCCATTTCTTGAGTCCCCTCTGTGGCTTGTTTAACAATGGAAAAATGAAAAGTGGCTTTCCTTTCTATACAACAAACCACAGAGTTTAGGGGCTTTCTTGAGGTTACACTTAGACAAAGCTGCCGTACATCATTTCTGATGGTTTTCTACAATGGATATTTTAGTAACCATATTTATAACATGTCCTCTAGTTCAGACATTCTTTGTGAAATTCTATTTCCACAAGAAGGAAATAGAATAGGGTAAGGGTACCAGATGATTTACTCTTAAAATATAGCATCCCAAACTCACAAAAGCCTGAAATGGTACAGAGATTCTTGGTGAAAAACAAGATGTCAAGATTTCTATTTTAAGGTAATAACAAAATGAGACATACAACATGGTGCCATTTCTGGAGAAGCATTAAATAGGTAGGAGTGTAATGTTCTCTGTTCTCTGTATCTCTTCCTCCACTCCACCTCAGAACTAGACTTGTGATTTTTCCCCACTGATCCATTTCTTATGGCTTGAACAACGACCAAGAGTAACAATAGCATTAGTAATAGTCACAACAAACAGTACATGCCAGACATGTATTTGTATAGCTTGTTTGCCATTTATAATTCCATGAGACCAAAAAATTAGAAGTAATAATTTTTAAACCTGATTTCTCAGTGATTCATTTCAATCATAAAACCATGCTACTACCAATACTTTATTTACTTATTTGTGTGTTTATTTTTGAGACAGGATGTCATTAAGTTGTCTGTTTATGGTGGCCTGGTACTCAGCATGTAGCCCAGGCTGTCCTCAAACTCATGGCAATCCTCCTACCCCACCCAGCTTCTATTATACTAAGATTATAGATGTGTGCCACCAAGCCTGGCTATACAGCCAAATTCTCCCTGAAATTTGCACATTCCTTACAAAGCTACAGAAAGTATCACCACCACCAAATTCCAAGCCACCACGAAAGCACTATATTCAGAACCATGAATGGAGGCTTCAGTCTTTTTGTGTTCATGGCTTAGATCAAGACTACAGGCTCCCTGTTTCCTCCTTTATCAAAGAACTAGGTAAATAGTCTCAGGGCTCCAAAAGATTGTAACTTCTGGATGTCTTCATCAACTAATGACATCATAAATGATCAAAACAACACAGAGTAACCAATCAAGAACCACGAAGAAAACACTAGTGGATACTCTACTTTGAAGAGATAACTAGAATGTTCAGCTGTAAACAATGATTTAGTGCCAGCATGAGAGACTGTTATGTCAACTGAAGTACTTTAAACACCTTTGATTTCTGCCAAATAAAAACAAAAACAAAAAAAATCAAGATTATCTGAAGTGATTTCCCTAATTTATGTTCTGCACAAATCCCAGGTCTCCTGTTATGTGAAGCAGCCACCTTTGAAGGCAGATAAGCACATCACTACATGTCCAAGACGCCCTTTCCTTTACTTTCAGCTAAAACTGTAAGGTGAAAGCTGAGCATGCTCAGAGATGCTTTTGTCTGCCATTCTCCAGGACCTTGAACTTACCATGTTCCAAAAATGTGTCTACAGTCCTTGCTCCCTAATTATGGGCTCAAACTGAGCATGAAGAGGAATGTGCTCACTTCTGTGTGAACATGTACATGCTCCTGATGAAATCCCCATGCTTCCCATTTAGAGAGAGTACTGCTTTCATGGTGATGCTCTTTTTGGCTTTGTGCTTACTCATCCTTCTGTTAGTCAGCCCTTAACCCTGGAGAGAGACTTTAGCAGAGACCAGAAGAACAACGACACTGAATCACTTACCCACAGTCTTGAGCTATGATACAGTATATGCTATTCTGAGTCACCAACCTTCATTAATGCAGTTTCCATGCCAGTAGATACTAACAAGGATGCCAATCTTTCAGTAAGACTACAGTGAGAACTTTCTTCTATGTCCATCTGGGTATTTTTTTATAAAGTCCATTTTCAGCAAGAACTCTGCTATGTCAGTTTTCCAAGATCTCCTCTCCCTGTGTGCTGGTTAGTTTTCATT